CACTTAACGTCCGCATTAAATGTGTCGTTGTCACCCGAACGTCAAAACATTGTTATATAATTACGCGCGTTTTCCATACGTTAATATGTCTGCGCGCGCGCCTACGTGCCGCAGTTTTCCCACTTCCGATCGTTGATCAGTGCAGACACGTCACAATGTTTATTTATGAGCTTATGATTATAAAATGACATTTTCATCATTGTGATATCGTTGACCGGCCTCCGAGTATTAATAACATTCATTGATTCATGTGATTAATGGTTACTACCTACCAAATAGGTTTGTAGTGGAGTATTAATAACGCTATTATCATAATTATAAACAAGATTTTACGTTACTCGAAGCCGTAGTAAATATATTATGAAAGAACATCTGGTCCGATACTGTTACATATTTGATATTTGTTATTTATGACTCCATCATGATCGTTATGTGACGTTTATTTTACTCGACCAGCGACCCGGTCCAGTTTTAGCACAGGGGCTTATTATGTAGTGAAGTTCCAGTAGACATAATTTCCTACAACACCTTCAACTACAGTGGTTGTATTTTAGCCAATTTATACAAAACCTATAGAAGTTATGTGTCAAAACGTTCCTTGTTATCTACTCGATCTTTTAGTAAAAAAAAGATTAAAAAACATTGAGTATTTTTTAATCTATGGCGTTCAAACAAACATACGAAACTAGAGAATTTAGTTTTATAATCGATATGACATTTATTTGTTACAATACCGTTCCTCCGTTGATTGTCGTTTGCTGGATTTATAATAATTTATCAGAAAAAGAAAATAAAAGAGCGAGAAGTCAAAGAAATAATGATATCACTGTCCACATGGGGTAGATTCGCGCACTCCAACAGTTACAATAGTTAGCGAACTTTCGTTCCTTTCCGAACTTGACCGTCAAAACAAGATAGCAATAAAACACTTATACAATGATGTGGATTTACATAAATTATCGGCGGCGTCGCGTCTGCCTCGTGTTTACGGATGCAATGTTTACAAAATCAGAAGTCAGTTCAACGACTTATATATTGTTTTATTAATGTAAGCACGCACGTATAATTGGGTCGCGGTGTCATATCGACATCGGGGCTACGGTAAACAAAACGGTGCCAGGGCGACGCTGACTTTTCTCATATACCCACATATTTTTTTTTTTATAATCTGGATTAGCAGTGCAAATGTGACGTTAGATATATTACGCGTAGATACGCGAGATCAAAATAGTAAGACGCTCCCGAGAATTTACGAGACATCGAAACGTTTTCTCGGAATCAAGAATTCTAAACATTTGCGATGACCGACGACGCGTCTCTATTAACGACCGTTGCATTCGTCTTTTAGCACTTGTTACAACAACAAACGATTTATAAATAGCTCACAATAATCTATATTTAGAAGTCATTAAGAACAGTTGTCGCCTTGTAGCGAATGTAAATAAACAATTACGAATACTCACGGAAGAAGATAAAAAAAAATGTGGTCACGTGACCGGTAATCTGTTACTATCGTAAATCATTGAAACTACAAACGATACCACGGTACACATACAAAAAAAGTAAACAGACCGGCACCGACGAGTACAATGATGATAAAATAATAATAATCCGTATTGAATTCGGCACTACCACCTGACATTCTCGTGTAGTATTTTTTTTTCTCTCAAACTAAGCAGGTGTTATTGCATGTCATTCATGGGTCGGTGTCGATGCCCTATATTATTGTAGTCACTTTCAAGTTCATTGAGTCACACAACGGGCATATAATTGGTCGTTAGTGTATGTCAAAACAGTGGCACGGTCCATAACGCCTTTACATAATTAGACGCGTTTGCATAAGCGATTATTATGCGTGTCTTCGCCGATGACGTCACCCGTTGGAGCTATGGCTAATACATTCGTTTGTTTATGAGTTTACTTTTACTCCACGTGGTGATTGTTTACTATGCGTTAATTTACAATGAACGCGTAATAAACTTAAAGCCATTATGAGATGTGCTCAGGCGCAAGAACGCATGACGCTAATTTGCTATTTATTTATTTTTTTAATAGGAAGATTCTCTTTCATTTGATATCACAATCGGTGTGATACCACTTCACAGATCATTAGTAACCACTTGCATGTTGAGTGCAAACACTTTTTGTTTTTCAATAGAGACTTTGTCCATTCATAGGAATGTTAAATTTATTATGGTACAATTGATTGTGTCGAAGTTTAATGAAATATTGCATTGTCATCGTGATATTGGTTAAATTTGACGTTGATTTTGTAAACTTTTGAAGGAAACGGTAAGACTTTGTTTTCTTTCTTTTTTTTTTATTAAAATAAGGTCTACCTATAAAGATAAATTGTGCAGAAAACTGAGGAGCCTTTATTAAAAAGTTAATGTCTCTCAGTTAATAGTTTTAAGGAGTTTCAAAACTTTTTGGTAATCATAACATGTGTTTTAAGAATTTCTTTAATATTAAAAGTTATAGTATTAAATATTATTTGTCATTTTACATATATTGAATAACATAAAGAAGTTATAAAAAACAGAAACTCTCATCGACTTTATCACACAGTTGATGTTAAAAAAGAACTGGTATGGGCGGCTCCAATTTTACTCACTAAGACTCTTTTTAAAAAACAATATTCTGTAATAGTTTCATACACATTCAGAGTACGAACACTCGGCAGCGTATTTAAAGTTAGTTTCAAATTAAATTTATTAGAGAAATTATACCTTTTGTAGTACATGATGTGTTGTCGATTGCAAATATTTCTACTCTCTAGACCGGGTCGATTTTTGTAAAAAAATTTTTTTTTAAGTCATAAACGTAGAAAATTCATCAATTGCAAATATTTTATAGGTATTTATTAATTTTCAATATCGGACTTTTAAGAAAATTGTACAAGACTCCTAATTAACAAAACAAACTTTGAAATTTAAAACTTCAAATTTGCATAATAATGTTGTATAAAAAAGACATAAACGCATTCTATAAATTTTTTACTTTTTTAATCAGAAAAACTTATTTCAATTGAGAACTTCATTTAATAGGTTTTATAGGTATATGTTTTATACAAAAAAAATCAATAGAAGTAAATAGTTGACATACTTGGAGAGGTATGTACATCAAAACAAATATCATTCAATCAACATCATATCAACATATTGTATAGTTTCATTTTAATTTTAAAAATCTATTTTATTTTTGTTAAGATATTACTTAAGTTCTCTTTTCATATAGCTGTACGGTACTATTGCAGTTTCTTTGTTCTTGCATGCTTCGATAGATGGCGTTAGCGGTCTTATTAAGCAGTATCAAGAATTTTAATTTTACCAAATTGTCTAGGTAGTCAGTTCAAACTATGAAAAATTAGTATTTGTATGATTTTTTGAAGATGAAACTATAAGTGGTTGAAAAATATAGAGGTAAATGAAGTATAAGCAAGCATGCAGACTTTCTAAAAATTCACATTTTTAAAGAAGATAAGTTATCAAATACCTATAACATAAAAATAATAATATTAAAGTCGCTTTTCTTAAAAAATAAAACGTATTTTATCCAACTAGTAATCATTATTGCTCGATCCTAATTCTCTCTCGCATGTCGATAATAGGAGCGTCCTCGAGAAAAAGACAAGTGGAGAGGACTCGCCATTGGCGATCCGTAGCGATGAGTAAATCTCAATATAGGAGCCGGGCGGCCAGGCTGCTGGGCGGGGCGCCCCAGCCGTTGCCATGGCAACGCACCCCTCGATTCGAGCAGGAAAACTCAACACACCGCCACCCGTTCTATATTATCCCTGAATACTATACAGAATAGTTCTCTTATTATAAAATTTTAGAAAAGTTAATACCGAATAAGTTTCGATTGGTAATAAAGAAATAATGTAGAAAGTGTTTGTTCAGTGCAGTGACGGCAAGCCGACTCGACGATAATTAATGTGGAATCGCTAGTCGGTCGAGTCAAGCGAACGGGCGCCAGCCTCGGCGCGCCGACAAAAAACCCGCTCCGACACAAAAACACCAGGCGTGCGAGCGAGACAGCACAACGGGTGCGAGAGGGACGACTGCACGTACGTATTTCTGTGACGAGTTCTCTGCGTTCTCGCTCGCCTCGAGCGTCGCAGTTATCGAGATTCGAGGCGAATACCGCGCTTTGATTTAAAACCTCGCTGAATGCGCCCTTCTATCTATCACATGGCGTTTGACAGATCGCCGGAAATGCGCTGAGCTGTCAGATTCGAAAAAGGGCGCGCGCCTAACATCAACAATAATAATATTTCCCAATATTTTCGAAAATATCACAAAAAGTACTTATGACGTGTTCTAGGCTCATTAACTAAACCCAAATTGAAGGCAAAACTATTCTATGATATAAAGTTACCTAATGAAATGTGTTCAACAGTATCTACAAAATTATATACTGAAGTCAAGTAACTTATTAATAATATTAGATCAAAATGATAGAACATACAAGAAAAAATATAGAAATTAATCAATAGATTGTATCAATTTGAAGTGATAGAATGAATTTATTCAAATTTTAAACTCGTGGTTTTAAAATAGCTCGAACTTCTAAAGCTTACCCAACTTTGACGCAACTAAAATATTACCTCAAAAAGTGAAACTTTTATGAAATTATTTTAACATAAAACTGTTTGAAATACAATAAATATATATTTGTATCCCAATGATGAGGGTATCCCATCGCAGTGGAACGTAACATTATCCAAAAAAAATCTACCTACTTCAGAGTTTAAGATTCTTCTAAAGTCTCTTACTTCAAATGTAAGTATAAAAAAACTTCTCAAAACTCAAGGAACAGTTGACCGTCCCGATAACCACTATAAAAGTGACTCGACATCGAGTTATTCTGTCTACTGTCTGTGTGGAAAAAGTGAACAAAGTATGATGAAAAAGTGTGGACGTGAACACAAGTCGAAAACACCAATGACTATGAGAAACACGTGAAAAGAATAAAAGTAGAAATATTATCTAACTCACCTGGAAATCACTCCACATTTTCATGGGGATACACCATAGTTCCGATACGAAAACATCACACGATCACGATAACAAACTGTCAAATATGTCACAGCACGGCGTCACTGACACAAGCGGGCAGAATGGAAGCCGAACACAGACTGGTGGGACTAGTGCGAGGCAACCGGGGCGGTTACGACTTTCGGCCGCTGAGCGAGCGCTCGAGCCGGCGTCGGGCCCGCTCGGTATCGGTCGGCTCCATTCGACCGCCCTCGGCCAGCCGTCACAGAGCGCCCACCTGCGACTCGCTTCCACGAACAACAAAACCGAACCGACTTCGCCTGGCCAGCACAATGCCTTCTCTACCCGTTACCTCGTGGAAATACCCGTGTTTCAGTTCATTTTATGAATCCACTGTGCACATTGAAGTCGACGGCGATATCTAATTTGGAGAGTGGAAATTAAAATACCTTTTTGTTTTCGAAACTAGCACTCTGAATTTTCGCAGCAGAAGATAGGATCTTTTGTCTCTTATTTCGTGTTTTATAAACTGGAAAACTATAGCCTTAAAAGAGAGAGAATATGAACATAAATTCAGTAGTAATAATAAAATCACTAGTTCCAAGTAATCATATCGAAGACATAGATAGTGAACACTCGGTATCTTGTTCGCGCGGTTGATAACGCGATTACGAACAAAATCAGACTTCTAACAAACGTAACAAAAATCGGAAGTTTTCAGTAGGCCGATAACTGAAAGTGACAAATAAAAAAGCTTTCTGAACAAAGTTTTGAGTGCGCCGCGCTACGTCTCGCGTAGCAGGAAGTTCGTAGCAGTAAAACTTCGTAGCGCTCTCGTAGCGTGAAAGTTTTGATTTCAACGATTTGCGTTGCGGCGAAGAGAGGGCCGCGAAGCCGCTCTAGCTCTGCGACCCTACGCACCGTACTACATCCCCCCTAACAAACGTTAGTTATCAACTAAACCGCTTGTAACGACGTACACTGCGCCGTTTTCACTGGAAATCGTTCATCGATGCTAACGAATTCCGCAATGTACGATAAACGCAAGCCAGCATTAGTTGTCACGGTATTCCAGATTTATGTGTTCGTTTATCTCTCACGAGAGTGCGCCACTTGGCTGTCGAGCGACTACGCCCTTACCGTGTTTAGGTGCGTTTTGCAAATCACCTCTCGACAAAAGATGCTCGAAGCGATCGCGTTCCATTTCATGTGTAGTTCACAGTATGTGTTGCGGTTACCGTTGTGCCGCAGCAATCGGGCGTGTGCCGATCGATACTACAGACCGGTGATACGGCGCGCCTGGAAAATTCATACAAGGCGGTAATTTTAAACTGTCTAGTCACAATTACTACGCTTAATACAAAAATGCATATGAGCATTTACAGGTGATTTTTTCTCTTTTTATGTGATGACAATGACGCTGCATCGTGACGAAGCAATTCCGCCTGCAAGTGGGCGAATGTTAATACAAAATTAAAAAGACTTCGGTATGCGAACTTCATGTCCAGGGTACTGCAGCGCATCTGAATGACATTTGATATAATAGATCTTTTATGAATGAACTGAATATGATTATCTATATATTATTATCACTAAAAGTAATAAATAAATATTAGAAAACAATTTTAAAATAAAAAAAATTGGTTATGTAAATTCGAAACAAGGACGGTATCAAAATCAACCTAAGGCAAAGTAAAAATGTTTATTTTCCACATTAGCACTACCGGGATTTGAACCTGAGATCTCAAAGATGGCGACCGAGACATCGAGAAACGATATGCGCACAGTAGCAGATTTTATGACACAGTTCTTGTCACTATGTCGCAAAATAATATGTCATCGTTTGATTCATCAAACGTTATTGCTCTAATTAGGTATTTATACATATATGAAATGATATATTAAACATATTTTAATATATTGTTGCATATATATAATATGTCATTTATCTGTAGATAATATAACTACACGGTAATATTTGAAATCTGTCGTGTAAGCTGAACACCTAAAATTTCACGGGAAAATACCTCTGTAATTTAAATAGTAAGTATACTTAATAATATATTCATAAAACCATAACACGTTATTATAGGAGCAATATACTATTCACAGGGAAAAAAAACGTATATTTTTATGCGCAAGGTGTACAAAGGTGCGCAAACGTCGTGTGCAACACATGCAATAAACAGTACGTAACAATGAAACCTCCTCAGTCACCTTAAATTCTATAGTGATAGAGTCGACAATCGAACGGATCGCGTATGAGGAATTACGTAGAATAACATTACGCGCTGTTCGCACTTCGTGTTCTAGCTGATGTTTCGTTTGGTGTCTCTTTACATTATAACGGTAGAATTATATAATATGTAACTTACCTAAATGCATATTAGTAATTTGGTTTCATTTATTTTTTTTCTTCAGTATCAATAAAAGGAACGCACCTAAATCATAAATCAATAATTTTCATTCGATTTCGATGAAACAAATAAGTCCAATCAAATAAGCTGTAATAAAAAAAAAGCGAGAAAACTGCACTATTATGTCTAGGGGTACAGTAGTGCTATTCGATAAGTATTAGGTTAGGGCCTCAAATTTTCCGCACTTAGACTATTTTTTAACCGTATAAATATAGCATTTCTCACTATGGAATTTACAAAAACTCGTTAGAAAAAATCCCAAAGTTACCTATAAAATTAATGTTTTTTTTTCATTACTGGTAAATATTATACCAATTTTTAAGAATGAAACTTAATAAATATGTGATTCTTTTGGTATCCAAGGGATATACATATGCAACAATTTTACAATAATCATAATAGTTTGCTAGCAATTATTAAAAATGGATTGCCGCGCTGTTCTTCGTCCTCGTACCTATCTATGTACAGAAACAGTATTTTGGCTCCTTGCTCCTTTTAATGCCCACACTGAGGGTAAAGGTCATCTCCAAACGAAAGTACCACGTGCTCCATATAAACGTTTGCAGGTACAGCGATACAACAACTTATCATCCCTTCTGAAAAACAAAATAACTTGAGATAGTAAAGTTTTGGTTCCCACCTGAAGGCCAGCATTTGCTAGAGGTAATAAAAATAATGTTTTACTGCTTATATTCGTTAAATCTATTCGATGATACTGGCAATAATTCTGTTGTGTCACTCTTTTTTAAACTAAACTAAAAATGTTTTACTTTTATTTTGATTATCTTAGCTATTTTCACAATTGGAAAATCGATTTGACAGGACAAAGCCTTAATTTAGTCTAGTTTGTGCAATAGAATTGCTTTTTTTCAATAAATTTTACAAATCGATACAATATTTTTGATAATTTTTTTCTGTACTCATAATGCTTCAATCTAGGCCTTAATACAATGTACTGATAGTATTATTTGTATGTGCCTCTTTTATATTAACAATGTTAAGGACTTTACCTACTCATATCATATTTTGCTTATGGTCTAAATTTTTATGTCTTGCCACACTTTTTCTTTTCATAATAGTATTCCTACTCTCTTTACCGTGTAACTACATACTCTGCTCTTTGCGTACGACAAAAAAACGTCCCTTATATTATTACGCTCGGTCAATAGTCAGAACTTTTTTTATTATCAAAAATCAGGCTTTTGTAATTCTCGTATTTTTTTTATTTACTCACAGCTTTTATATAAGTGAAAATAACTTATCACCGTTCCTGTTTTGCTGAACGCGAGTAAAACACTACCCGATTTTCAATCGGCTTTCATTAATGGAGTATTGGATGGCATTTGTTTTAGTTTAGTAAAAATTTTCAATTTTTTTCTTGGGTATTAAAGCAAACAAAGAAAAAACGTGTATTTGATAAAAACCCAAGGTATTTATTAACTCAGAGGAGCTTGGTGGCGCAATGTTCAGTGCGGTCGATCTGCATTGCGAATGTTCAGCGACTATCGCAATAGCCGATTATTGGATGGGTGACCATTTATTGTCTTGAGTTCTTTGGTACTTCCGTGCATGTTAAACACGGTAGTATCAAAGAACTCGAGGCCATAAATGATTGTTCAATGTACGCTTTGGTGCAGTCGTTAAGAGTCACCAATCCGCACAGGGTTATAGTCCGTCCTTGCTGTATTATTGTTTATTTTTCACGGGGATCATTTGTAGGCTGGTTATGATGATTTGTGTTAGCATCATTTTTTTTCAAATGTATGTAATTGATTATAAAATTGAATCGTTATGAATTATAATTATATGCAATCGGGTCTTGTTCGTGCATTTTTTAAAACAATTAATTTACCTCGACGTTTCGGCTACGTTACAGCAGCCGTGGTCACGAGGAGACTGGAGTCATGGCGCAAGCTGATGGGTCCCTGAAACACACTGTCTACAGGAAACCAACACACACAGACAAGTACCTCCACGCTTCATCTCATCATCATCCTCAACACCTACGTTCTGTGGAGACAACTCTTATTAACAGGGCTAACGCATTATGTAATACTGACTTCTTAGCAGATGAGTTGTCCCATGTACAGGACGTGCTAAGGAAAAATGGATACAGCGCAAGGAGGTCATACCCTATCCGAAGGTGTAAGGAAAGACTACCTAAGGTTCCCAGGCAACGGGCATTTTTAGGCTATGTTAAGGGAGTAACGGACAAAATCGGTTCCATTTTGAGGAAAAATTTTTCTATAGACACCATTTTTACTCCTTTATCAAAAATGTCACACCAATTGCGATCACCAAAGGATAGTATTCCTTACCAAAAACCTGGCGTTTATAAAATTGACTGCAGCTGCGGTAGTTCATATATCGGACAAACGAAGCGGACTATCGCCGAACGTGTAAGAGAACACATAGCAGCGGTCAAAAATCGTCAAGTGGAGAAGTCCGCGATTGCAGAGCACTTATTATCATCTGGATCAAACCACTGGATCGAGTTACATACACCTCATGTCCTTTCCACTGAACGACATTACTATCCAAGGATTGTTCGTGAAGCGGTTGAAATCAAAAAACACAACAATTTCAACCGGGAAAGTGGATATAAACTCTCACCAACGTGGAATCCGGTTATAAAAATGTATAAGTGTCGCGATCGCAAACAACCACGAACAGTATTCTCGGATACCGTAAGTGCAGTGTGTCGCCACCTTTAC